CTCTTGAAAGTGTCATAAGCGGACGCATCGCAGTCCACAAAAGCAGCAGTCGACAGAGCGAAGCTGTTCACTTTGATGACATGAAATTTCCGGCTTCTTGTAGATAACTCAGTAGCCTTCCGACCATTTAGGAGGGCAGCACGGATCGTTCGAGCTCTTGACGGACACATACTGTATGCTGTCATTCGGAGCGAGGCTTTTGGAAGACCGGTCCTAAGGAAGAACGACGCGATATTGCCGCTTTTTCCCCAAAACTACCCCTTCAGGAAACTGTCTTTCATCCCACTGGGTATTAGCGAGCGTTTCATCCGTTCTGCGGCATTGTCTGCGCCTACACCGCAAGGTAGCGTCATGTTATGACCGTGGGAAGAACGAATTCCACGAGGTTTTTCAGGCCCTTCTTGCCGTCTCCCCCACCGTGACTGCGAGGGTGATTTTTCGCATCAGTAGGCGTACCACATCACCTGCCAGGGCGTACTTGGTGGTCACGGAAAACGCAGCTGCTATGGCAACATGCATATACTGCGGAGAACACCGTTAGCCCAGTGAACAGGACTAAGGGTAGGAACTGTGGCAATGTGCGTTTCATGTTGCCTAGTCTCACAGTGTGGGCAGCAGTGAACTGCTGAAACAGGACAGTGAGTTTGCGTGTGATTTCACAAATTAAAGGGGTACACTGTGTTGTTGGTGACAGAGAGCGAGCGATCACTGATTTTGACCATGGTGCACTTGAGAAGGAATTAACAAGGGCTTTGCGCAGGCGGCCGGCTACCTAGGAATCAGGCTTTGTTCTACATATGTTATGGACATTGCTCATCGCCAACAACGCCATTTGCCTTCCCGGCCTCAAAAGACCATGCGGATGCGCACTTTCGTCAGCGCCGCCGCAAAACTCTGGTTTTGTGTTAACCAGAAGACAACGTCGCCTTCGCGGGCTTATGTGTTCTACTGCCTGTTGGGCCACTTCACTACCGCAGAGGCGAAAACTGCAACTCCAATTGCCAATAGAAGCGAATATACGAGTTCCAGGAAACAGTTCAGAAGAAGAAAAGGATGCGATCACTGAAACAAGAATTTTTATTTTCCTGACGTTTCGGATTCTGTCGAGAATCCTTGATCATAGGTAACCGAATTATGAGTACCGTGCAACCTGTGCATGTACCACCATAATCTGCGCATTTCCCACACTGTTCTATGGTTACCTATGATTAAGGATTCTCAACAGAATCCGAAACGTCAGGAAAATAAAAATTCTTGTTCCAGTGATCGCATGACTAGGAATAATTAACCAGCAGCAGGGCAGACTTTGTATTTCTTCTATGCTAGAATGGGGCCTCCGAAACGCTGTAAACAAGGTTGTCAA